CATTCCTGCATTTCAGGTGCCTGTGGGTTTCCAATCATTTTAAGGGCAATGTAAAACATTTTACTATATAGAACTTGTAAGAATGTATGATACTGAAACAATGCTTTTTTTTAATGCACATCCAAGAGTGAGAGGAGCTGAGAATGTGGACATGCAAGGCTGTGGAAGAGAAGCTTCATCTCAGGAGGAAAAGTGTCCAACCCAAGGTAATAGTGAGCAGTTCTTCCTGCTTTCATAATAAGGGTTGCTTGCTTTAGTAGAATGTCCTCCCCCTTTACAGTTTTTTTTTTTTAAGGAACAACCTTAACTATTTTGTATTCAGGATAGAGCAACTGTGTGATGTGATATTTGGAATGCGTCACATCTATTATGATGGCCTCCACATCCCCTGAGGAAGAAGGCCTGCTAGTGTGGGGGGTTTTCAAGAAAAAGCAAATTAGCTTGGTAAGTGCTGCATTTGAATTTCATACAATTTGTCAAGGTGCAGCTGAGTGTACAAAGTAATGTTAGTATTAGGCTCTTTTAATTTCAAAGCTCTTCACACTTCTATTTATTTTCAGGTTGTAGAACTGCTCTCTCTGCTGTGGCCAGTGAAGACCCAACCCCAAAAATGTTCAACAGCAGAACAGACATTTGAAGTTGCAAAAACTTTATTACAAGTTGGCAAAGCCTGATCATGTTAAGTACTTTTTAAACAAATGAATATTTGCAACATGTCAATCTGTTGACAGCTGTCCACAGTGACAGAAGACATGAAGTGTGGGGCCTAAACGGGGGACCAGAACTGAAGTTGTCAAGGCAGCGTACCCCACATGCTATGTGTTTCCATCGCAAGTGCCTGGACTCCTCCAGCCACACAGCTCGAGTTGCAACTCAAGCAGCGGGGTACTCTACTGGTAGGTTCAAATCTGAAGTTGTCAAGGCAGAGATTTCTCATCTTCCCATGACGGCAACTGAGCTGTGATGGGAGTGGCTGCAAAAGAAAAAACAGTTTAAGCCTTATTTGTTAATAAACAGTCAAAATAGAAACTTGCCTGTCTCAGTGTACTGTATGTCCTCAGGATTCCTGTTGTACAAGTTGCTGTCATTTCATTTACCAGTGGCCAGTCCAAAGAAAAAGCCCTCTGCTGGTCAGACAGGTTCATCACTATCGAGCCAAGGAAACAGAACATTTTAACTCCCATTTACCGTTTGCCTTCTTTCAACACATTGCACATTTTACATTTTTAACAGTACTTTAATCTGCAAATGCCAAGCACAACTGTCATAAAAGGCCCTAGACTTGAGGAATCTTCAATTTAACTTTGAGAAACTATCCACAACAATAAGAATGTTTGTGTTCTGAATCATTTCTTACCATCCTAAATGTTGTCCAGAGGTCAACAGCTGCTGCACATTGTTGATCTCTAGTGTGAGCCCATGACGGTTTGGGTTATCATCTTCACTTGGTTGTGAAGCTCTGAGTTCTGGACCTGAAGTATTCAACAAAAAGAAAAGAATGCGGTGAGCGACCTTGTGCCTCAACCAGATGGGCTGAGTGGATAGAGGACAAAAGAAAAGCAACACATCTGTTGAATAGTTGCCACAAACAGGACAGGTAGGCTGGGGGCAAAACGAGAATTAAACATTGTGTATTATCTATACAAAGCATGGATAGTCCTATGGTGTGTTTTGTAATATATAAAGTCTAGGTTAAAATTTTCATTTGAAACAAACACGGATGAGAAAATAATGGTAATCAAAAGCTTGAAGTTAGTGAATACACTTCTCACCTTATGTGAGATTAGTACCACTTCTACCTTGTACTGCACCACTACTTTTATTCCTGAATAACAAAGACTACTTCATTTTTAGAAAAAAAAGCCACTGCATCAGTGTTCCCCATAATACTGTAGTAGGCTACATATGTGCTGTTCATACCACCTGTCCCTCCTGCACTTGCTGGCTCTCCCACAGCAGCAGCATGTTGCTCTCCCTCATCTCTCTTCCTGCATCAGCAGCACTGGCTGAAGACCGTAAATATTCAAAATGAATCAGCTGGATCATTAATCACACCGATAGGCTTTCCCACATTTTTTGATATTCCCCTGGACTGAGGGGGCAAACAGTTTATCCACTTGCAGAGCACTCCCTGTACATCCATGCTATATACAGCATGCTGAACTTGGCAGCAACGGTATTCTGATACTTTAGGTATTCTGATACTTTAGCTAGCCTCCATCTTACACAGAATAACAAACCTACTTGCTTAAAAAGAATCTGCACTACAAGAAAATGTGTCCGAGCAGCCTAAACACTACTGAACTTGGTGTTGAAAACAAGAAGGCACAAATGTAGTCCAGATATGTTCGACGTTTGCCTTATGTTTCTGCAGACAACAACAGTTGCAACACTGAAAGTCAACAGCAGATCCAAAGAGGAGATGTTACTAGTTACAGCCATGGTAAAAAGAAAGTGTACATTCCAGTTCTCTTCTGATCATTTATCAGGGCCTAAATACAATTGTGTGGACCTCACCAACTCCTATTAAAAAAAAAACTCAGATGACAAGAAAACAGGTTTCAATATGTGATTATCATTTCCCAAATTTAAACCAATGTTCAGAAACCAGATGGGAAAATAAAAATATACCCATTCTACTTCCACAGTCAAAGAGTATTCAGCACCCAGGTGTTGCTAATCGAACACAGAATTCATTAGGAAGTATGACTACCTCTATAAAAGCAGAGCTTTTAGCAGTTTGGTGTTCTGGGGCACTGAGGTGCATCTCTACATCACACAGAGAAAAAAAAGACCATCCACCATGACCACTGCCCATCAATTTGGGAAGGGTTATATGGCCATCTCCAAACAATTTGAGATTCACTGTTCTACAGTGAAAAAGACAAATGGCGAGCTTTCTCAGCAAATTCAGTCCAAAGTCAGATCATTTAATGGGCAGAGATATAAAAATGTAAGTTACATCATGTGACCTACAGGCCTCTGTAAAGACATTACACCTTGATGTTCATGATAGCACAATTTTAAAAGACTGAACAAGTATGGCTTTCAAAAAAAAGGGTGGCTAGGGAAAAGTCCCTTTTCTCCAAAAGGAATATGTCAGTATGACTTAGATTTTCAAAATTGCATTTGAACAAACCACTAAAATTCTTGAACAATACCTTTGGACTGATGAGACCAAACTGAAGCCGTTTGGTCACCATACATTAGTGATGGCCGTCTGACACCGATGCTCCGATACAAACTCAAAGCAACATTTTCCTTGAACCACTGCTTCGAAGCTTGCTTTGGTGCAGAAAAACACACATGACCAATGACATCCGAAGAAGAAACTGCTTCCTTCCCCTGAGTGAATCATGTGACTGGATCAAACCAGTCGGTACTACTTCATAGTGCAAGATGCTTTGTAATGCGAAAAATATTGTTTCTCAAAAATCTTTGAATCTCTGACCCACTTACATAATCACATCCTGCCCTAATTACACAAGCACACCCTACCATCTTAGCACATCCGTTTCCCCAAGTAGGCCTTCTCCAAGTTTATAAAATCAACCAACTGACCAATCACTCAATCTTTACAAAAATGTATTTACATCATTCACACAAACCCTATTTACACTCATCACATAAGACATTGTTTTGCTGTCTCCTATTTCACCACTAGATGTCACTGAAACAAAGCTTTGAATGAATGAACCCATCTTTGAGACAACTGATCAAGTGGTTCAATACTGGTTCATTTGCACATCACTACCATACACAGTGCTACGTTTGGTGAAAACCAAACAGCATATCATCATAAACACCTCATACCAACTGTCAAGCATGGTGGTAAAGGGGGTGAATTTGTGCTTGTTTTGCAGCCACAGGACCCATGAAACCTCCAGTCACTGAGATGCCAGTGAACTCCACTTCACACCTGAATATTCTTGAGAAAGTTGTGAGGACTCTGTTCCGCAGCTTAAGATGGGCCAAAACTGGGTCATGCAATTGGCATCTTAATGGCTAAAGGAAAAAAAAAAAGGTATTGGAATGGCCAAATCAAAATCCATAACTCATCCCAAGAGAGATAGTGTGGCAGGCTCTTAACAACTGTGCATAAATTAATGCCCTCAGACATCAATGAACTGAGGCAATGTTGTAAAGAAGTGTGGGCCAAAATTATGAGACTGAAACTCCTACAGAAAACCTTTAGTTCAGGTAACTGTTGCCAAAGGTGTTTTTATATGTTACTAAATGATTGGTTGCACTTTTATCTTTCACCTGGTTTCTGAATGCTGGTTTACTTCTGAAAACGAGTTGGCTACCTACTGAAATATGTTTAGTTTGTTTGATAGATTGAACCAAAGTTGTTGAGGACCACACAATTTTTAGGCCCTTATGAATAAAACCATAGAACTGAAGAAGAGTGCACTTTTTAACACGACAAAGTAACATTTTCCTAGAAACAGGTTTTAACAATTAGCCTGTTTGTTAAAGTGAAAATGCACAAGCAAACCAATTGGATGTTTAACTGAACCTAACCACACAGGGAAAGCATTAGCGGGCACACGCCTGGCTTCACTTCCGCTTGAAAAGTTTGTTGCTAGCAGAGTTTTGCTAACATTCTACATTTCTGGCTAACGCTACATAAAGTAGCCCACCTGAACTCGAAAATATACATTTGTTTAAAAGCTTAACCTCTGAATAACAGCCAAGTACCTGCGCACTGCAGACATAGAGAAGGCTGCACATTATATTTTGTGTGATTTCCGGCTGCTACTCACCCGTGTAGCAGAAGAGTCCGCGCCGAGGTTCTTCTTCATGTCTACTAGCCGACAACTTTCAGGACCCGTAGCCGAGAGAAACCTAGCCTCGCTGACTCCTTGATTCTTTGTCCTTGTCCTAGAAAGAGATCGAAACAATATTTTGTGTCACTACAGTCGTACAGAGAATTAAAAAAAACTATTTTCCATCTCTACAGACAAGCAAGGGTCAAACAGGGACCCCAAATCTAACAATTAAATCTAGACAAATAACTCTAAACCAATGTGAGCTATATCCGAATATAGTCTTCATAGACCTACACATTTAAACATTTTAAAATAAAGAAACTGGTCTTAAAGGTCGCCAAACACAGAACAGCAGTCTGGCACAAGACTATGGGAAAAATTAACGGGTGTATAATACAAAAGAATCACATTAAATCGATTTTACTTCGGAAAGAAATATAATTCCTATCATCAGCTAGCAACCTTCTGTTGTTCTAGGCCTAAGCCATAGTGCAGGAGTATGTTATCTAGCTACTGCCTCAGGTGCCTCACGCAGCAAAATACCTAAGCATTACATAAATTAAAAGACTGTAACTAATTTTCAAACTTTTAGACAAGGCCCCTCCAGCTCCTATAGTCTATATTAACAAGCATTTTACTCCGTAATCACATAATAGTCTTTCAAAAAAAGAACAGACCTACTAGGAACCCACACCAATTCAAACAAAGGGCTTATTCATTAACAGCACCTGTCTTAAGAAGGAAATCCTCGCCTACCGATTGGCACGTGAGACCCAGCTGTCTTCTGATTGGACAATTTGACTCTGTGCTGTGATTGAATTGTCATTGTCCAATCAGATTCAGGTGTAAAAAAAAAAAACTAGTATGTATCTTTATGCAACACAATAATGTTTACAATTTTTATTCACCCATTCACAAAAGGTTTATACAAGTGCAAAGTCTTTCTATACATATTTCTATTTTTTTTTTTACAATTACAAAGCTTTTCTACACATATTCAAAACGGTTTTACAATCTTTGTGACCCTGTATTTAGCACATTGAACTGTTGCAGTAAAAACATTTCTCCACTAGGCGTCATAACAAACCAAATTTTGTGCTCTCACTGTATTTGCAAGCATGACAGTATAAAGAAATCATTCTGCATCAGTATTAGTCTTTGAATGCAAAGATGTACATGGGATGTAGCAGTGTCAAAGGGTAGTAAAACATGCTGATAGCTGAACAGTTTCCAACTGAAACTGTGAAAATGTGGGCAAAGAATGCAGATCAAAAAGACACATCATTTCCTGACACAGTTGTTGAGGAGTCCCTGAGTAAAATCTGTAATCTGTAACTATTCGGGCTGCTCAGTGGCTAAAAGTAGATGTTATGCTTCTTATATTCACTGTAGCTGATGTTATAATCCAGAGAAGCTGGGTGCAACAGTAGGAACTAGATTCTTCTACTTTTTTTTCTCCATGAAAATGAAAAATTCCTTGAACTTAAGGGATTTGAGAAAGAAATTGAGCAGGTGAGTCCTGGATTTGTTCCATCGTGAAGTTAAGTGTATAAGGACAAGAAGATAATGTATCAGTGAGTTTATGACTCAGAATGAAGTTGGCAATAAAGGAAATATTTCAGGCAAATGATCTTCATTTCAAGATTTTTTTTATTTTTTTTTTTATCAAACCTTCATTGTGAGCATGACATCCAGAGCCTTTTGTGAGACTGAAGTTGGTATTTACTATATGTTAGGGCTGCTGTTATTTACATTTACTCTGTATAGCATGCTGTTGTTACAGAGGTTACATTGATCCCATTTCAACTATCAACATTTACATGTACGTTAGCAAAATAATAATGTTATGTCTCTTTTGACAAGATCCTTTCAATCAATCTGATACTTGAGATATCAACTATATTGACAAATTGAAATTAGGTCTACTGTAAGGCTGAGTGTGTTCATATGCACACTTGTATCTTGGTTACAGTATGATCATGCACATTATTGCACAAAAATATAATATAATAATATAATAGGGTGTCCTGTTTTCATATGCCTGAATGTACTAGCTTTAGTATTCTAGGATATTGTGGCATGGAAACACTATTATCAAGTTTCTGACCATTTGCTGCTGGTCCAGAATATGTGTCTGAAATGCAGAGGAATTTAGACACAAATGCATGCAGATGATCAGAAACCTCCACTTATGACATATACATTACTATGAATAAATTGATTTCTCATTTTCATTTAAGCATCTTTTTCTGAATGAGAATAAATCCAGATACTGTGATACTCAAAAACAAGATCCTGATGTGCATGCTGTTTCTTTTGTCAGGTGTTATGTCTAAAGCTGAGGTTTCTAAGATTTAGATACTAATTTGCTATTCACTGTGCAACCAGAGACTTAATGCAGGTTTGGTGCATGATATGAAATCTGATGTTAAAAGAAGGTGTTTACATGTTAGTGAAATTTACTTAAAGAGATTGAGATTACTCTCATATGAAGAGATGTGGACAGCAGCTGGTTAGCATAGCATATGATGTTAAAAGAAGGTGTTTACATTTTAGTGAAATTCACTTAAAGAGATTGAGATTACTCTCATATGAAGAGATGTGGACAGCAGCTGGTTAGCATAGCCTAGCACAAAGATGGAAGCAGGAAACAGCTTACCTGGTTTTGTCCAGAGTTAACAACCTTTATCCTGACGTTCGTTAATGAAACCATTATACAGTATCTCTGAGTCATGTCAGGGTTGCTAAGAAATGAGCAGGGTCTCTAGGAAGTGCACCCTTGTCAAAAATGATGTTTTCAGTTTTTCATGCTAATATACAGTGGGTACGGAAAGTATTCAGACCCCCTTAAATTTTTCACTCTTTGTTATATTGCAGCCATATGCTAAAATCATTTAAGTTCATTTTTTTCTTCATTAATGTACACACAGCACCCCATATTGACAGAAAAACACA